TTGAGTGGGCTGTGTGGTTATTTTTTTTTTTTTTTTTTTTGCTGGGTTGCTTCAGTGCAGTTCAACTACAGATTTAATGTAGCACAGACTAGAGTTCAGTCCATTCTCCGAGTAGCTCGACCAACACTGGCTGCACAAATGCGAGCAGGGAAGCGAATGGGCCCTGGTGGCCAAACACTGTAACTGCGTCGTGCCCGGCAGCAAAGGCCGAGTATTCCAGGGGTTAATAACTTTATTGAATTGGAAGCGCTGACCGCATTCAAATCAGCTCAACATCCCAGACTAAAGTTGACACAGAGCAGCGCTGCATTTGTAGTTTCTGTGCAAGAATCACAGAGAAGGCACGTGTTGCTTTCATGAGGAACAAACTGCATACGGTAAAAACAAACAAGCCCGAGCTTGTGTTCCTGACACCTCTTGACCACTGGATGTCCTCCAGATGGACCTCCTTGTCACCACGAATGAAAGTGGTGGGACTGGGGACACCGTTTCCACCATCTCGAGGTGAGATCTTATCACTGCCACTTGGTAAACACGCTCATCTTATTACTGCATTTAAAATGACACGAGGCCCAGACAGGATATCACGTTCCTGACTGCCCATTGTTTGTTTTGTCCAGGGGAACAGGATATTCAACACCGTGCCAACAAGCTGACGTGAGGAGTGCGAAAAGCGTGATGCTCGTTTGAAAAGCAACCCAAACTCCTGTTCGTTCTCACCTGCTGCCCTCGTTCTCGCTGTTGATGGTGCATCGCACCATTTTTACCGAGCTGCTGTCAATGTGCAAAGCACTGGTGTTGACATGTCAACAGTTCCCAGGTGACAGAACACAGTAACACGGCAAAAATCCATTTCGTTTTCTATTGTCACATTTGGCAAGGATCCGATTCAAACCGTGAGATCAAAGTCAACAAACGTGCGTGTGCAAGCTCGGAGCACTTTATCAACGTCACTGTCACATTAGTCTCGATTGTTTTGTTGAAGTTGGCTTCAAAGCGAGATAAGTGCTCCGTAACATTCTGAGGAGTAGCTGAACGTCGCTCACCTCGTGTCTTTTGTTGTGCTCGGATCGCTGCCACTTGTTCTTGATTGTACTCACGAGGTGTCGGCCGGCCGACCGCCGGCGCCGATCCCAAGCAAACTCGACGCGCGCAGTCTCGTTAAAACGAACGAACGAACGAGCGGAGTTCGTCGCAGGTCCGACTCGTAGGAGGCGGGGAAAGCTACCGGCCGGCTTGGAGTGACGACGAGAGCGGCGGCGCTCGCTCTGCAGAGCCGGCCGCTTCCAACGTCTCTTCGCACTGGCCGCCTCCTCTTTCTCCCCATCCAGCTGGTTGGCCAATAGAGGGGCACTTCTGGTGCGGGACCGCAATCAATCGAAATTGCGACGACATTCAACAATATCCAGTGCAAGAAAACCAGGTTTTCTTTTTCGGTCGCACATGATTCCAATTTGCAAAGCTGACGCACGCCCCCCCCCCCTCCGCGCCCCCTTCTTTTCTCCCCGAAAACAATGGTCCTTAACACATTTGAATGGTGTGCATTTTCAAATTGAGTACATTCAAATAATTTTTTTCCCCATTGTATTTGTCATCCAATTCATCGAACCTTTTTAATCAATCAATCAAACAATCATTCTATCGGTCTGTACGTCTGTCTATCAGGAACATGCATAAAATATATTTACTGTAGGAATTGTAACTTTTAATGGTTTGCTGTAACGTTTTGTTGTGTTGTAACTTTTCATGCGATTTAAATACAGCTTGACTTTGAACATACTGCTGAACGTTTGCAATGACTGCATCATAAGGGAAAGGGAAGGAAAGGAGTGCCGCACTGATGAGGTTTCAATGTTGTCGAACAATGGGAAGGCCAAGTCACCACTGAAAACTGCAGGAGCAAGGAAATTGCGGGGAGGAAAGCACTTGAATTGAGGGGAAAAACGCTCATAGTAAAATATCATCGAGTTCGAAGAATTAACTGTACTTTGTACTATAAAAGAACAAAAGATAGTCTTTTGTTTTCTGGTGGGGGCTGAGTTTGTGCTGCAAAGAGCTTTCATCGAAGCATCATGAGTCACCCCGGTCACTGCCCCTCCCCCATTTATGACGATTTCTGCAAGCTGTGACGAGGTTTAGCCCAGTGTGTAGACAACACAAAATCTGTGTTTGCCCCATTCTCCCAGTGAGATTAGCCCCCAGTTATTTTTACAAAGACACTTCATATAAAATATCTTCTCGTAATGATGATGCAGAGCATGCACATCAAGGGGAGGTGGGGGGGGGGTCTCGGGGAAGTGATTTGGAAGTGGATTAAGGCGGATGATTGTGCTCAAATTGAAATCAATTCAACACATAAAACATAGCGTGTAGTAAAGTTAGGTGAGCGAATGTAACCACCAAGCAATCCTATCTTTTTAAGCCCAAAAACAATATTGTACACTTTTAAGGGGATTATGCCGGGTCCCTCGAACAGATGTTAACACAGTGAGGTCAATTCTCCCGAGGGGACCCCCTGATTGACACAGTGTCCCAGAGTTATTGGCCCATTGTCGCGGTGTGTGTTATCCTTTGGTCTTTGGCGTCATATTACTGCACTTCCCTCCAGGGCAGATTAAATATGTCCCCATACCATCAGCCTTGACCTTGATGGACGACTAATGTGATTTTGCTTTGTGCCTTGACTGACACTGACGCTATGAAAGATCCATTCACACACTAGAGGAAACGTTATGCCTTTACGAGTTTCTACAAAGAAGAGATGACAATACGGTGCATCAAAAATAAGTGCGTGCTGACCTTCATCCCCATCACGTGCGCTCTCCACAACTCGAAGCAGGTCAAACGTTGTGCCACCGGCTTTCATGGGACCTGCACTTGGTCATTTTTGTGTCTAGCAGGCTCCTTGACAGGTCAGGGTCAATACAGTGTAAATGTTTGTGAACCCTCCTATTTATTTATTTACTTATGAGGCATAATATCAAACACAACTTGAATATTGCTGGTATCACACCAAACCTCCTTTTTCAAAATTTGGTCTGGTTCTGTTACATTTAGAAATTCACTTTCAATACCTTCAAAAAGTGTTGATGTGAACTGTCACTATGTTGAGTAATTCATGAAGGTGCCCTGCTCAAAGGCAGCTTGACAGTAGCCAGGAATCAAGTTAGCCTCTCACCAGTGGTTGCCACCCTTGGAGCAGATCTCCTTTGACTTCTGACTGATTGCTCCATTCAAACTGCTGCTAAATTGCACGCGTTTGTACTTCTAAGACGTCATTTCTTATTGTTTTGCACTGGTGTGATTGACTGCATTTTCTTTTCTTTTCCTCAAAAACTCCAGTCTGCCTTTCACATCGGTATTAAACCATTTCCACACTCGCTGTACTTCCAAAATTCGGAGTTTAAGTATTTAATTTGGGTTTAAGGATAAGATTGAATTGTACACAGCGAATCTTAAAAACTGTTTCGTTGACGTTTACTTTGAAGGTCAGCAAACTGATTTCCGGGTTTGCATTCTATTTTAACTGGCGCCCTCTGGTGACCATTTCTAGCAGAAACATTGGCCTCGGAAAATAAATCTCTTTATCTCCAAACAAATCGAAGGCCACATCACAAGTATTCGTGGTTTCACAATTTGAAAAGCACATGTTTTCTTTTATATGGATGCAAACGAGTTTTGGGCTGTTTCTTTGGCTCAACATTTAAAATGGAGCAAACGTATTCCAGACACATGCATGGCAGTGACTACATGTGACTGACTGATGTAAAATGACCATGGTAACTCCCACTTCACAACAATTTCCCGCTAATAACAAGGACAAGGAGAGCAAAACACCAAACAAAAATAAATAAATAAAAATACAGCAGTGCGCCTAAACAACTTTACACACTTTAATTCAAGCCTCACCATAAACTACATTTCATCAAATAGACTGCTCTTTCATTAAAAAAAATTTCAACAATGAAGCTGTGTTTTATCATCACCAAGCAGTGTATTGCAGCCCGCTATCTTCAACTTATCCTTTGGAGTTTGTCCCCCCAAAAATAGTGGTAAAATTTTATTTTTTCAGTATTGTGGTCAAGAATGTACAAATTAACAGCCGCAAATGTTAATTTGTTACGCATCAGCATGGCCCGAAGCAAGAGAACCCAAGCTCAACTCAACATTATCCAAAATAGTCATTTTATTGTTGTTATTGAAACACGATGAATTTGGTATGAGTGGAGCAATTGTTTGGGACAGGTGTAAAATCCATTTGAATCCATGTTTTATCAAATCAGCATATAATCGTGGGGGATGTCAAATGGCAAAGCTTGTTTTCCCAGCTTGAATATTATCAGCAGTGCTTCCAAGTCAGGATGCAAGCGCAAGTAGATTTGAAAAAGTCACAGCGATGCAACGTCAATTTGGGGATGTTAACAATTGTAGTACACGTGCAAGACGGCCACCGGCAACGCCCTCAATCCGTTTAGGTGAACGTGCGATTTAGCGCTCCCTGTTTGGAATCTGAATATATCACTCCCCCATGTCTCTCGGGGAATGTCTCAGAATCCCCTTGGGAGAGCTGGACCAAGTGGCTGCGGCGAGGGATGTCTGGGCTTCCCTGCTGGGGCTGCTGCCCCGGCGACCCAACCCTGGATGAGTGGAAGATCCATGAATGGAAGTCGTGATGGATCGAGGCAAACACAGGAAAACGGTCATCTTCTAAATATTTGTGAATTATGGTATGAGACTATGACCTCAAAAATGCCGCAATATAATTTGTAGTTATATCGTGGCATTTCTGGATCTCTCTCACACACACACACACACACACACACACACACACACACACACACACACACACACACACACACACACACACACACACACACAAAAGCAGAAAAATGGGACAACATCTGTATCAGGCATTTGATCTTCTGAATAACTCATTTTGGTGGCTCGGGAACACATCATGGGCCTTTGAATCTCCTTCTGTGCGTAAACAAGTAGCCTTGTAACACGTTGCATCCTTGCTTATCAATCAGCAAAATGCATTTTCATGCTTCCAGTTATGGAGCGGAGAAACCCAAGGAGGGGGGTTGGGGCGGCTGTCCTGCTTGAAGCAAAGCACATTTGCCATGGCTTCTCTTCTTACGCCGCACAATCCCCGCAACATGAATTCATTTCATTGACCAAACGTATGAATTTTGCATTGACCCTTAATGAGAAATAAATGCATGTCAGACACGGTACCTCTAAAGAAAAAAAAAAAAAACCCAAACCAAACCCTTACTTAATAATCGAATGACTCTTGCTATATGGTGAAATGATTCACGAGCAGTTCACTAATCTCTCCTCACGCAATCGGCGGAAGACGATAAAAGAGTCTGGAAAATGAAGCTCAGGTTTTTCAACTTCAGCATTAACATGGCTGAATCTCAAGCTGTGCTTCCTGTTTTCAGGGTCAGAAATAGCATGGCAAGAGCCCTCGTTTGGCAAAAGTCAACTTTTTGAAAGATGCCTGAAACTCGCCCTTGTGTCGCGTCCTGTTCCAGAGACAGAAAAGATGGTTTGACATCATTAGCTTCCAAAATATAAATAGCCAAAAAGCAGTGACTTGAAAAAAAAAACGTCTCAATAAGGATACTGTGTACAATGATGAGCATGTTTTAGTTCACGGTTGATTTTGGTAGCACTTAAAAACGGTATGTTAGGCTCACAGAGCCATCTGCAAGTATGGAGCCCATGCTGATTTGATGGCTTCAAGATTTCTATCCATCCATCCATTTTCTAATCCGGAGCCAACACCCGAACTGGTTGCCAGCCCATCGCAGGGCACACAGAGACAAACAAGCATCGGCACTCACACCGAGGGACAATCCAGAGTGTCCACAATTCACCGACCGTGAATGTTTTTGGAATGCGGGAGGAAACCTGGAGAAAGCCCACGCAAGCACAGCGGGGGAATCACGACCTCCCGGTCCCGGCTTAGCAATGAGGCAGGTGACAACCGTGGGTCTTGCAATGGGGAAAAAAACCCCAAAAGCAAACTGCAAAGTAAGCCCATGAAACTTCCCTGGAAAAATAAATTGTATGATATCCTCCCTTTCTTCCATAGAAGTGGAAATGCTCCTGTTGCAAAACACAAAACCAGTGGACTTCCTTCCCTAAACAACAAATCGGGGATTCGACATCGTAGCGGGCCACGCACGCTACAGTCACAGCGGCAAGTTCCAGCGTGGTAAAGTTTTGAAGACCTGCTCAGACAGCAATCGTGGCCGAGTGGCTGCTTGGCATCATCGTCAAACATGGACACTCAAAGGTAAGATT